AGGTAAGGCTGCGGGGGGGTTGGTGGGGGCAGTGCAAGAGAACTGATTTGTGTTGTGTTTACAAGCACTTTAGGAGTAGCTCAGGTGCTGCTTGACATTTAATGAATTATGGCCTATATTTGTTCATGATTTTACCCATTATTCCAAAAGCTACATCCAAATATATACACTAGCAAATGTTATGATAGTTTTAATATATTAACAGATTTATAGAGGCATAAAAATGTTGATAAATTTTGGAATACAGATTTAAGGAGACACTATAGATATCTCAATATATTATATATGCATTAGAATGTGATTATTTGAAGGAGAATGTCACTCTAGGAATACTAAAATCTGCTGAAGGGTAGGAAGTGCAGCCACACAGCCCTTCAGCAGCTACTGAGTGGGGAGACCAGAACACTGCAGTTACCTACACAGAACTAGGAGGAAAAAAAATAGAAACATTTAAGAAAAGAAAAATAATCAAATCTTTATATGTAATCGAATAACTGAAATATATTGCAAAAACTTCAAGAAGTCACTCAGTGGAGCACATACCATCCCTCCTGTCATGTCTCCTGTCCTGGGAAGCAGATGTTCTCTCCCTCTCATGTCTTCCTTTTTCTCTAGCTGGGGAGTGATGTTTGGATTGACTTCGCCTCCTTTGAGGAGATGATCCATGTGTACCATACGGAGAGGAGGAGCGCCTGCCAGCGGGTGATGAGGCTCTCTGATAATGAAGGGAAGGAGATCTCCTACGACGAGGGGAAGGAGAGTGTCTCTGTACAGAGGATCCCGACTGTGAAGATGGAGAATGATGTCTTGAGGACATGGGAGAATGATGACGTGCAGCAGGAGAAACCGACCTGACAAAGTAAAAATGTTCGCTTTCAGAAAATTGTACAAAACATACATTTTTTTTTATTAACCAGTTCAAAGTTAAAGCTGAACTCCAGGTATGGATCAGTTTGCAAACTTACATTGTTCTAGCTTTGCCCAATGCAAGTATATTTGCCTTACCCGAGCTGAAGCTAGTACAGTAGTGGCCACAATCTTTCGGGTGCCAATACTGTGCTGAGCTAGGCAATGGGACAGTGTTACACCAAGATGGACCACGGCCCTGGACACGAATAGCACCCTGTGGCAACTTCAAGCATGTGCCAAGGTGAGTCGCCCTCCATTGCCCCAAGCACCTGACAGCCCCACATGTCCCTTCCAGTGGAGTCTGCATCCAATCCACCAAGGCTTCGAGCCGAGGAGAAAACCAATCCAGATAGCTCCTAAGAGATGCTGCAATGCGCCTGCGAGCAGCTTAGGGTAAAACTTGCTAGGGAGCCTTGAAGCAGGAAAGTACAGAAAAAGATGTGCTTTTCTCAGAGCAGAGAGAGGGGTCCATCACCTAAGGACACTAGCAAAAAAACTGAGGCAGGCTGGAAGCGAGAAGGATTATACAGGGCTGTCCTTAGATTTGCCAGTGAGCAAATCACCTAAAAAGGTAGCTGCAACATCCACTGGTTCAAGAATTAACTCCCTGTGTCTTGTGAAAGAACCAAGAAATTCTATTTTCTTTCTTGTCCATCGAGGGACACAGGAAGTTCAAAAGCAGTAAAACAGAGGTAGGCAACACAGCAAACAATCAATCAATAACCGGTCCAAGAAAACAAAGGACTGCGGACTGCCTGCAGCTCAAAGAGCCGTCTGAAGGACCTTACACATTAAGCTTGCATCAACTGAGTTCAAAACATCCCCCTGGTAAACATTTCAAGAACATGTGAACAGAAGACTAGGTGGCAGTCCTGCAGCAGACTGTACTGCACTGCGATGAAACAATGCCTGAAAATTTTTTTTGCAATGCACACCAATACAGTGTAATGAAGCTGGCGTGAACCAGGCCTTATGTAAAGGGGGTGCGTTTTCTTGTTCCTCACAAGCCATCATGTTACAAACGGTTGTGAACTCAATGTCTTCACTTTGAAATCGCATAAATAATTTTATAAGAAATGTCCTCCGCAAAATCCATCTTGGAAAGAATAAAAAAAAGGGGGAAAAAACAAAATCTACCTGCGGGAAGGGGAGATGCCGTGCTTGTGAGAAGAGGACTTGACTGGTGTTGGTGATGATGTATGACGCCTTCGAGATGTAGGAGGAGAGTAGTCCCTTGAACGGGAAGAATTACTGCCTGAGCGATCAGCTGGGCTTGGAGACCTTTTCTGCCTATGAGATCCTTCTGAAGTATCCCTATTACAAAACAGAAAAAAACTTTGGTAAATTCAGAATGACATTTATATTAAAAAAAACACACAAAAAAAACAAAAAACACTGGAGGCAAATATCAGAGACTGTTGCAGAGAAAACTAGTGCCAAAGCGGTTACCCAGAGTCAGTCAAATAATGCAACTGTTACCATCTAAATGAAACTGGAAAAAAAATTGCTGCATGTGAAAGCCGACTTCATACTTAGCTGTCACAATGTCCACATCGCAGCTCTGCGCCATTTCAGAAGAATCATTAAAAAAAAAAAAATCACCAGAGTTCCAAGCCTAATTTACCACACCCTACACTTTACTTTTACTGCTGCTCATGAAACTTCAGCATCTGACACTTTTGGGAGTTCCAGATTCCTGTTTTTCCTCTTCTGTAGTTTCATCCGTCAGCCCCCCTACGTCACTAGAGGACAGTAGTAATGTAGGTGTCAGCAAACAGAACAGAGCACAGTAGGGGACCAGGCATGCCAACTACCTAACCATACTGCAAAAGCATGATCTCTTGAAGACAAAAAGGTCAAAGAAACAAGCCTGGGGGTGAGGTAAGTTTTAAGTCTTCTTTCAGAGGTAGACATTTTACATTTCATTTAGGAGGG